ATGGGCACTAGTTTGAGCCCTGGCTGCTCCACTTCTGATCCAGCTCTCTGCGATGGCCTGAGAAAGCAGTAGAAGATGGCCCAAATCCTTGGGTCCTGAACTGGTGTGGGAGACCTGGAAGAAGCTCCTGGTTCATGGCTCCTGGCTTTGGATCGGCTCAACTCTGGCCATTGCATCCATTTGGGGAGTGAAATAGCGGATGGAAGACCTCTCTCTCTCTCTTTTGCAGCCTCTGCCTCTCTGTAACTTTGCCTTTCAAATAAAATAAATAAACCTTAAAAAAAAAACAAAAAAAAAAGAATGGCTGGAAAATAAATTTCAGTGAAGTAAATGGTATTGTACTAGGTTAGATTTGAAATAATGTTATGTTGACCTTCCCATTAGCATGTTTACTGCCCGACAGAAAAGCAGCTGAGGGTCACATTTTAGAAACAAAATTTGTGACATTTCATATTTTGTGACAAATATGAAATGATATATCTGTCAAACCAAACATAGGGAAATGCAATTTCAATCTATCTAAATACTGGGAAAAAAATCAGCTTTTTATAGGTATTAAATGGAGGAGGAAAGAGAGATGTGATTACGACATGAGGAAGAAGGAGAAGAGGAGAAATGAAAGGATTGAGAGGAGAGAGAAATGAACTCAGCTTACAAGGAACCTGAAGTAGTAATAGAGAAAGGAAGAGGGGCTGTAGGACTGGTGTGAGTGTCAGACATAGGTAGATGGGACATTCTTGGCTTTGTTATCAGCTTTATTGAGAGAGAATTGACATACCGTAAAGTTCACTCTTTTTGAAGTATATAACTAGATGTCTTCTAGTATAATCACAGGGCTATGCAATCATAGCCAATATCTATTTTTAGATAAGAAGTAAAAATCAAACACACACCCGTTCACAGTCACCTCCCATGTCCCTTTTCTTCTCCCAACACTCTAGCCCAGACCTGGGCAGTCACTGTTCTGCTTCTTATCTCTATGGATTTACCAATTCTGACCATCATATATGATACAGACTTATTGTTCTTGAGTTTCTCATTTAGCACAGTGTTTCCAGGTTCACCCATTTTGCACTTTTTATTATACTTCATTGCTTATTATTACTGAATAACATTCAATTAGGCAAAATTTTCACATTTTATTTTTCTGTTACTCAGTTGATGACATTTACAGTATTTATTTATTTATTTATTTATTTTTGACAGGCAGAGTTAGACAGTGAGAGAGAGAGACAGAGAGAGAGTTATAGACAGCAAGAGAGAGACCGAGAGAAAGGTCTTCCTTCCGTTGGGTTGGTTCACTCCCCTAATGGCCACCATGGCCGGCGTGCTGCGCCAATCTGAAGCTAGGAGCCAGGTGCTTCTCCTAGTCTCCCATGCGGGTGCAGGGCCCAAGCACTTGCGCCATCCTCCACTGCCCTCCCAGGCCATAGCAGAGAGCTGGACTGGAAGAGGAACAATTGGGACAGAACCGGCGCCCCAACCGGGACTAGAACCTAGGGTGCCGGCGCAGCAGGTGTAGGATTAGCCAAGTGAGGCATGGTGCCTGCCAGTATTTCTACTTAATAGCTAAAATATTAGAAGCATTAATACACCAATTGTGTGAACATAAATTTTAATTTATTTTTTTAAATATTTATTTTCTATTTATTTCAGAGGCAGATTTTCAGAGAGAGAGAGGAAGGGGGGGCGGGAGAGAGACAGAGAGAGAGAGAGAGAGAATCTTCCATCCACTGGCTTACTGCCCAAATGGCCAAAATGGCTGAAGCCAGGAGCATGAAGCCTCCTCCAGGTCTCCCACTTGGGTTCAGGGCCCACTGTTTTCCCAGGTGCACTAGCAGGGAGCTGGACTGGAAGTAGAGCAGTCGGGCCTTGTACAAGTGCCCAAATGGGATGGTGGTGTTGCAGGTGGAGGCTTAACCTGCCGCAATGCAGCACCCCCTGTAAATTTTCATTTCTATTTAGTGTGTACCTAAGCGTGAAATTGCTGGGTCATTCTGTAAATTCAATGATAATTCCAAAATGACTGTCACTTTGGCATTTCCACCAGCGATGTACAAAGGTCACAGTCTATTGACATAATTGCCAACACTTACTATTTGTTTGTTTTTGTTTGTTTGTTTGTTTTGATTATAGAAATCCTAGTGGATGTGAAGGGTATGTCATGGTGATTTCGACTCACATTTCACTGATGACTACTAATGCTGAGCATCTTTCCTTGTGCTGTTGGACTTTTATATATCTTCTTTGGAGAAATTTATATTCAGCTATTTTGTTCATTTTTAATTGGGTTATTTATTTTCTTATTATTGCATTGTAGGAATTCATTATATATTCTGGATATGAATCTTTTCTGACACACTAGTTTGCAAATACTTCCTTTTTTCTCTGGGTGTGCTTTCACATTCTTTATAGTATCTTTTGCAACATAAAAGTTTTAGTTTTGTTATAGCTCTGTTTATTTTTTAATTTAATTTTTGAGCTTTTGGCTTTGTTTCTAAAAAATCAGTGCCTAATTCAAGGTGGTGAAGATTTATTCCTTTCTTTTCTTCCTAGAGTTTCATAGTTTTGTCTCTTATATTTAGATGTATGAAGCAGTTGAGTTTAATTTTTGTGTATAGTATGAGCTAACAGTCTAACTTCATTCTTTTGCATGTGAATATCCATAATTTCCAGCACTGTTTGTTGAAGACAATTCCTTTTCCTATCCAAGAGTTTTGTTGCCTTAAAAACTAATTGACTATGATAAGAGTTTTTTTTTTGATATGCCATTGATGTGTATGTTTATATGCCAGTACTGCATGTCTTGATTGGTATATTTTTGTAGTAAGTCTTGAAATCAAGCAACATAAGTCCTCTAACTTTTTTCTTATTTTTCAAGGCTGTTTTGGCTATTCAGAGTATCTTGTAATTCCATATGAATTTGAGTACTGACTTTTTCATTTCTACAGTGAAACCATCTTAGATTTTAGTAGGAATTGTGCTGAATCTGTAGACCAATTTTGGTAATGGTACCATCTTAATTTTATTTTCTTTGAGAGGGAGAAAGAGGGAGAATGAGAGTGAGAGGAAGAGGGAGAGGAGTAGGGAGAGGGAGAAGGTGAGGGTTTGGGAGAGGGAGAGGAGAGGGAGAGGGAAATGTGAGAGAGGGAGAGGAGAAGGAGAGAGAGGGTGAGAGGGAGAGGACAGGGAGAGGGTGAGGAAAGATGGTGTGGGAAAGGGAGAGGGAGAAGCGGGGGAGAGGGTGTAGGAGAAGGAGAGGAGAGGGAAAGGGAGAGGGATTTTTCATCTGCTGATTCACTCTTCAATTGCCTGCAATAGCTGGGACTGGGCCAAGTTGAGCCTGGAACTCAGGGCCTTCCACATGAGCTGCAAGGAGACAAACACTTGGGCCAACACCTGCTGCCGCCCAGGGTGTGCATTAGCAGGAAGTTTGATCAAAAGTAGGGGAGGTGGGATTTGAATTCCAGCACTCTAAATGGGATGTAGGTGTCTAAGTGGCATCTTAACTGCTGGGTCAAACACTAGCCCCCTTATCTTTTAAAAACAATGGTTTGTAGTTTTCAGTTCCATTTTCTTTAGTCAAATTTATGTCTAGATATTTTATTATTTTTGATGCCATTGTAAAAGTAAGTGTTTTTCTAAATTTTGTCAGGATGTTCATTGATGGTGTTTAGAAATAGAGTTCCTTTTTGTATATTGATGTTGAATTATGCTGAACCTTTTTGCTGAACTTATTTGAAATAATGTTTTTAAAGTGGATTCTTCAGGATATTCTATGTTATCTGCAAATTAAGATAGTTACTATTTCCTTTCCAATCTGAACGCCTATTTCCAACGTGGAACTCTCTTGTTTGCTAATTGGCCTGGCTAGACCCTCCAGTACGATGTTGAATAAAAGTGGAAAAAAACAGATATCCTTGTGTTGTTCTTGATCTCTGGGGGAAAGAATCTCTGGGGACTCATTCCACATTGAGCATGGTATTAGCTGTCAGGTTTTCAAAAATGACCTGTACGAATGGTTTAGGAAATCCTCTACTATTTCTGGCTTGATTAGTATTTTTACCATGGGAAGTTGTTGGATCCAAATGTTTTTGACCTGCTTTTGTCTTTTATTCTATTAAAATTACATTTCATTTTCTACAAATAAACAAAAAGTGTCTCTATCTCACCTGGTTATGGTGAATGATCCTTTTTGTTTGCTGATGAATGCAGCTTGCAAGTCAAGGTTCTTTTTTGAGGTTTTTTGTGTATCTATTCATAAATGATATTGGTCTGTAGCTTTCTTTGCTTGTGATGTCTTTATCTTATTTTGGAATCTATATACTATTGTGCTCATATATGGAGTTGTAAAGTGTTTCCTCCCCATTGGTTTTTTTTTTAAAATGTGTGAAGAATTTATATTGATTCTTTGAATATTTGATAGAATTTACCAGTGATGCCATCTGGTCCTGGGATTTTCTTTGCAGAAAAACTTTCAGTCATCAGTTTGGTATCTTTGCTTGTTATGGATCAATTAAAATTTTCTGCATTCTCTGGAATCAATTTCAATAACGTGTCTTTAAGTTACCTAACTTATTGACATCAAATAATAAGAATATTTTCTTCTAATTATTTTTATTTTTGTTAAGGTCAGTAGTGAGCCCCTTCTTTTTCTTGGTTAGCAGTTTTCCCTCCTTGTCTTCTCCTTTAGTTTTTGTCTTAGTCTAGTCAAAGCTTGTTAATTTTGTTGATGTGTTCAATGAACCAGCTTTTGGCTCCATGGACTTCCTCTATTGTGTTACTCTTCTCTACTTCATCAGTCCCAACTGCTTCTTCCATCCTCCAGACGTTCCATTTAGCTTGCTCTAATTTTTCTATTTATGTAGAATATCAGCCTATAATTTGAGATGTCTTATTTGTTAAGGTGTTATTTTTTTTAAAGAGAAAAAAGAGGGTGGGGAGGAGAGGGAGAAAGGGAGAGAAGAACACACACACGTGCACACACACACACACACACACACAGAGAGAGGGAGAGAGATTTTCCATCTGCTGTGCCCATAACAGCCAGTGCTGGGGCCAGGTAGAAGACAGGAGGCAGGAACTCTGTCACATGACCTCACATTAGCAGGAAGCTGGAACTGAAAACTGAAAGTAGAGTGGCCAGGAGTTGAACCAGCATTCTGATATGAGATGCAAGCATACTAGGTAGCGATTTTAACCACTGTGTTAAACACCTGCCCCTTATTTTTTGTTAAATGCAGGTGTGTACAGCCATAAATACACCTCTGGGCAGTGCTTTCACTACATTCCATCAATTTTGGTGTGTTATATTTTTGTTTTCATTCACCTCAAAGTGTTTTCTACTTTTCCTAGTGATTTCTTCTTTGACACATTAATTATTGAGAACATATGGTTTGATTTCTGCATATCATGGTTTTCCTATTTTCCTTCTCTTATTGATTTCACATTTAATTCCATTGTAATTTGAAAACATACTCAAACGTTATGATTTCAATCTTTTTAACTTTATTGAGACTTACTCTATAGCATCATATATGCTTTATCATGGAGGATGTTCCATGTTCACTTGAGAAGGCTGTCCATCCTGCTGTTAAGAGAAGTGTTCTGTAGATGTCTGTTAGCTCTGGTTGTATTATAATGCGGTTCAAGTCTCCTTTTTTGATCTTCTGTTTGGGTTTTCTAGTAATTATTGAAAGTATGGTATCAAAACTTACATTTTTTCTTGTTGATTTAATTCTTCTTCCCTTCAATTCTGTGCTTTTTGCTTGTGTATTTGGGGGTGCTGATGTTGAATGTACATATTATCATAATTTTTTGTTATTAATAGATTAATTATTTATCATTGTTAAGGCCCTCTTTGTCTTTACAATGCTTTTTTGTTTTAAAAATCGATCTTCTCTACTGTGGGTGTGGGATTCTTATTCTCCTCTGTTTGCTGTTTACCTGGTATATCTTTTTTTATTTTTTTTAAGTTTTTTTATTTTTTATTTTTGACAGGCAGAGTGGACAGTGAGAGAGACAGAGACAGAGAGAAAGGTCTTCCTTTCGCTGTTGGCTCACCCTCCAATGGCCGCCACAGTACAGCACGCTGCGGCCAGTGCACCACGCTGATCCGATGGCAGGAGCCAGGCACTTCTCCTGGTCTCCCATGGGGTGCGGGGCCCAAGTACTTGGGCCATCCTCCACTGTACTCCCTGGCCACAGCAGAGAGCTAGCCTGGAAGAGAGGCAACCAGGACAGAATCCGGCGCCCTGACCGGGACTAGAACCTGGTGTGCCGGCGCTGCAAGGCGGAGGATTAGCCTAGTGAGCCACGGCGCCGGCTAGGTTCTATTACTTTCAACCTGTTTTTGTCTAGTGGACATTTCTTATTATACCACCATAGATTAGGGATTCACATTACTTATTGTCATTATCACTGTTATTTTATATTTAGCTAACTACTACTGTAGGTTTTATTCCTTCAATCTTTCTAAGCCTTTGTATTGAGATATGTAAGTGCATCATCACAAATAGAAGAGGATTTTTTCTCTTGGGTTTCAAAAGTGATTAGAGCCTGTAAATATATACTTTCTCAGAAGAGTTGGTACAGAACAGGATGAAGCTGTGGCTTGTGTCTTTCTTAGGGGCTGGTATTTTCCCCCATTACTGGGATTATCACCTGCTCTCAACACTAGTCTAGAAATTCAGGGTCTGCTTTGTGACAGCCTAGGGTCAACCCTGCAATTGTATTCCTGACATTCCAGACCATACTCCCCTTGCCTGACTGGCAATGGAAAGGAAACAGGGTGTAACAATAGGAACACTGGAATGCTCCGGTTCTGGGTTGACCTTTGTATTGCTGCTAATCCTTTATTTTCTTAGGCAAAAGAGATGAAAGTAAAACTGAACAGGAATCCAAAGACTTGATAGGAGTCTCCCCTTCTGAAGCTTTCCCCAACCTTCACACCTTCCAAACATTTGGGAAAGGCAGGAAGTTTTCCCTGTGGGTTGTCTTTGTGATGACATGATGCGGCAGGTTCATCAGTGGGGAAAACCCCGTGTGAGAACACGCCTTCTGTGTACATTCCCAATATTTGCTATAAGTAGGGCTATCCCAGGTTGCTATCAGAACACAACAGAACCGCCAGGGCACTGGGTACCCAGAACTGAGCAGATCTGTTCTTTGAGCTGAAAATGACGTGTGGTAGCAAATCTTTACTTCTGTCTGCATTGATGTCATTGCTGCTACTGCATCTCTGCAGCAAGTTGGAAGGTAAGTGTCTCTCTTTCTGTTAGTACAGGGGGAGAATTATTTTATTTCCCTCTAAGCTTTGAGCTCTTCTGGACAGTCCCTAAAGGCTAGAAGCCTCTTAGGACCTGTACAAGAGAGCCCTGGGAGATGTCAGCTCATTGGTGATTGGAGGACAGGATTACTGCTGCTTGCTGCTGATTAGGCTGTTTTATTTGCTGTCAGTCCCTGCAGATTTAGGGAGTTATGGGCTCTTAGAGACCTCTTAACTTCAGAAGACAGCCAAGGTCCTGTTTCTGGGATGGAATTTGTGTAATAGTATCAGTAAATGGGATCATTCCAAAATGTAGAGAAAACTCCCATTTCTGGTTTATACAGCTTTAGTAAAGTTTAAAACTCATCCTTCGTCGGCATGGCACGGCACCTGACACCGTATTTACTAGACCTTGGCTGCATCCCTTGCCAGCTATGAGATAATGTTTGCCCCTGACCTGACAGCGTGCTGTAATTTAACTCAGGAAAGTATCCAGTTATTGCTTTATAACTGAAGAGAGCATCATTTTTAGCAACAGATGCCTTCCTGAAAATGCACACGTTGAACTCTTACAAACAAAATTAACAATTCCCATGAACTAATATTACAATTTCAAAGTACTTTAGTTGTAGCTCCCAAAGGTTGCATTTTTAAAAGTGTAACTTCTTTGTAGCTTCTGTAAATCACATTTTTCTTTCTAATCATGCTTCTTAATACTCAGTAGCCAGATAACAGATAGAGTCCGACAGTTGATCTATTTTCTAAATTTGGGAAGTAGTCTAGTAAGATTTTTTCTAACAGATGGTAGAATATCATATTCTTGAGTGTTTACAGTGAATGAAATGAAATCCCATCAATTTGGATTTCCTACTAAAAGTATTCTACTTATGAGACGTCACTTGTTTCTAAACCGTATTATTGAAGCAGAGCTTCCCAGCACACAAACTATTTTTAACAGAACTGGAAACCCTGTGAAATTGGACCTCAAAGATCTAGTAAAGGTTTCAAAGACATTGAAACTCTTCTACTGAACAGCAGATTACTTGTCATGTAAATCAGATTCACTAGCTGTCACCAACTTTAGGTTGTTCTGTAATACCAATCACAGTGTAAGTCATTCGTGTAGACTCAATGCCTTTCATTTCACTTTTAGCAGCAAGTAACTTTGACTGCTGCCTTCGGTATACAGAATGTAGAATTCATCCCAGATTTATCGTGGGCTTCACACAGCAGCTGGCCAATGAAGCGTGTGACATCAATGCTATCATGTAAGCTATTAATTGTTTTCATTCAATTATATCTGGAATAGATGACAATTTAGATTATAAAACTTTTGGTCTATTTGAATTTCATTCAGAAATAACTAATGTGACGAAGATAACTTTGTTATACTTGTGAATTTCTAATTCTAAGTTCATTTTCAATAATATTGGAATAAAGCAAAAATTAGAGATTTTTTTTCAAACAAAAAAGAAGATGATATGACACCAACAAGCACTTTCTAAGGTGAATTTACAGGCAATTAAAGTGCTATCTCAGGATATGGAAGATGTGTGTTTTGAAATCCAGAAAAAAGTTAGGGAGGTAAAGTAAAACAGTCTAGCTACATTATCATGTATAATATTCTTGATTAATATAAAAATATTATGTTTTGGAATGATATATGTTATCAAACAGATATATACACATTTCTACAATCATCTTGGGACTTTATCATCCCACCATTGTCTCATCATTTATTATCATTTATGTCTCAGAAAAAGTCTGAGACAATCACTTTCATTTCTTGCATGAAACTATCAGGATTTTCTTTTTACATTTTCTTTTGCTTCATTAGCTGAAATGTTTAATGTATATAATAATCAACTGGAAAATGAAATTTTCATTGCATATCCTTTAGAATATCACTTAAAAGCTCATTAAATACAAATAATATTCTGGGTTTTCAGCCTTCACACAAAGAAAAATTTGTCTGTGTGTGCAGATCCGAAGAAGGAATGGGTGAAAAGAGTTGTGCATATCCTCAGGTATGGAACATTGACAGTAAGCTTTCTCTAAATATTTGTATAAACAATAGTGAGCAATGGGTTGACCATAGACTTGCTGGAATTCTTTAGCCTAAGTGCTATGAAATTTTTAAAGGGGATTTTGGAATTGGTCCAAGAAAACAAAGACTACATTTTCCTACTTACAGATTATTATTATCATAATTATTATTTTAACTTAGTGATTTTCACATGATGTGTTAGGTTTCTCATGCATTTGATAGTCACCAATGACCTGGTTCTTGATTCAAAGATGCCTATTTATGTCATTTAATGACAACCTGAAATTTGGTAGTTAAAAACTGAAAAAATAAAAATTAGAGAGATCAATGGTTCTGATTTAGATTGAGAGTACCAAGTGGCAACATTTTATCAATGGGAGGAAGGCCCTTACCCCAGTGTGGCATAGACACTGAACTTGGAGACACGGACTAAGTGTTCAAATCCTGCTTCTGTCTTTCATTACCTGAGTTATGCTGAGTGGGGTTCATCTCTCTAAACCACAATTTCCTCATGAAGATTCTGAACTTCTTGGCATCCTGAGGTGATGTTGAGGGTATATGCTACAGTCTTTAGGTACCAAAACCATTCCCACAATGCAGTCACCCTGTCTTTGCTTATACTTTTTTTCTTTTTCTCTTTACAGTAACAGAGTCAAGAAAATGTAAAAACAAATGCTATTCTGGAGTAGGATTGGACACAGCCCAAGAACCAAAAGAACCTATGTAGGGTTGGAGATTTCATTTGCACATCATTGAAGGTCTAGCACTTATCTGATTTATACCTTGTTGGGCTTGTCCAGTTAATGAAGTTGATTCATATTGCATCATAATTTGCTTTGTTTAAGCACCACATTAGAGTCAAACTGCTTTGTGTTAAGTTATTTACAGTTGTAAGTTTTCTATGTTTGTCTATTTAATACTGTTTTACCATAAGCTATTTGGTTTAGTGCAAAGTATAAAATTATGTTTGGGGGAATAAGATTATAAGGGCTTATTTGCAAGCAACAAGCTATTTTTAAAACAACTACTTAACATTCTTCTGTGTATATAATTTTGTCTCAAATTGTTGTAAATCTTATAAAGAAGAAACATTATAAGGATAAAAAATGAAAATAAAACAAGGAACCAAAAAGTTGTTTGTATATAATTTATTAATATGATATACATTGAAAACACTTAAAGCCATGAGATATGAACAGTTTCTGGAAAGTTATTTTCCTCATTTACTTCTCTCTGGTTGTTCTCTTTATCTCTGTTCCACATGGTTATAGGCTTAAGATTTTATGAATTATAATAAAAAGTTTATTGTTTCTAAATTCTAGGTTATACAAACCAAAGATTAGAAAGATCCTATACTTGAGATCCATATTCTAGTTTTTACTAATATAAAACCTTTTTAAATTAAAAGAGTGTATCAAAATACTTTGTGAATAAAGGTACACAACGCTCAATTAGAAAATACTTTCAGAAATGACTGAATTCTTTATTCTGTCACCAGTCAGGATTCTATGAATGGTTTAGCACAGGAATATTACTTTTTAAAGTCCCCCTGGAATCATCCAAAAGTATTTTCCAAAACGGTATGTCTGCTTAGAGGGTTCTTAGAAAATGACTGCTTCACTAATCAGAGGGGAGACTGCAAATGTGAGAAAGCTTGCAAAAACCCTGCTGTAGAATGAAAAGACCCTGCACCAATGTAGCTAATGTTCCAACATCATGCATTCAAGTTTGCACCCAGCAATCCATATGTTTTGCTTAGATTCTAAAGGACACAAAGGATCATTGGAGACAGGTATGTTGACGATATGATGCAAAGCCCTGATGTACAAATTCATCAGGCAGGGCGCAAGTGCATCATCCAAAGCAGAGCCACAGACAGTAAGTGGCTCAGTATACCTGAAAGGCAGCCCTGTGCCTAGGAATAGCAACTTTGAGTCATCAGGGAAAGTATTATCAACATCCTGTTGGTTTATTCATCACACCCAGATTTAGTACCTGTTGTGTGCCAGGCACTGTGCCCAGTGCCAGAGAGATTGAGTGATTTAAGGCTTGGTAACTTTCTCATAGATACTTCTGGCTGAGCAACGTGGTGAGAGGGAGGAACAATGATTAAAGCAGCTATTACCAACACATGGAGGTAAGCATCCCATGAAGAAAGACACGGGGTGCCATTAGATATCAATAGTGAGAGCTTCCATAAGAAAAGGATGCTCAGCCTACCCATGTTAAACAGCCGACATTCGATGTTCTCGATCCTTGAAGATAGCAATTTTGCACTGTTTAGTTCATGGACCAGAAGTAGGTAGCCATTTGGAAAGAAGGAAGCAGGGAGTGTCTGGAAATATCTGGAGACATGCTTCAGTTGTCACAAAGTCTGGGAGTGGGGAGCTGCAGCTATTCAGTGGGCTGGGGTGTGGGATGCTGAACCTTATGGAATGTGCTGGATCATTCTGCTCAATAAAGAATCGTCCTGCTCAAAATAGCAATCATATCACTATCAAGCAATATCGTTCAAAGGGAAAGTATGCACTCCATGGGGGTGGAAGTGGAACATTAAGGGAAACTCTTGCCTCAGCTAAATATAGTGGTTTTAAATTGACATGGGTACCCTGAGAACCATCGAAAAAGACAAGGCAGATGTGGTCTTTGCATGGCAGAAGAAAGGGGGATGAGGCTCATGGGAAACAGAGGCACCAGCTGCAATGAATAAGGTGGGAACTGATGAGACCACAGTGGAGGCCATGGCAAAAAGAAAGGTGTGGAAAAGATCCCGAAACCCAGCCTAACACTCATTCAGGACACCCCTTCCAGCCACCACCAACAGTCACCTTTGTCTGGAACAGTACTGCTAAGGAGACGCATTGTCAGAGGACAGCAGATTTGGCTGATTACCGGGTAGGACTTGTGGAGTTGGAAAAGAAAAAAAATTTGTTAGTAGTCTGAATGTTTTTGGGGCAAGGAGTACTAAAACTGCGAAGTGAGTTTCTGCAAACTGCAATCTCCTGGCCAAAATGCCAATTTATTGATCAACAATGTCAAGCACTTGTGTGAAAGTACATGAGCAAGCAAGGTGAGCAAGACATCTGAGAAGTCCAATGGGACTCATAAAGCTGTTTTTTTAAGCTTGGGATCAGAGTGCCTAGGCTCACTTTGTAATTTGAATATTTAATGCGTTAGACTCACTGTACTAACAATTTCTTTGGATTAGGGACGTTGGTCCCACTTCACAACTCTTTTCTTCCATTTTGGAAAATGAATATATTTTTATTAATTTTTAATTGATGTATAAATTACTTGCAGTAAGTATATATATCTTAAAATACAGCTTGGGGCCGGCTCCATGGTGCACTAGGTTAATCCTCTGCCTGTGGTGCTGGCATCCCATATGGGTGCCGGTTCTAGTCCTGGCTGCTCTTCTTCCAGTCCAGCTCTCTGCTGTGGCCTGGGAAAGCAGTAGAAGACGGCCCAAGTGCTTGGGCCCCTGTACCCACATGGGAGACCAGGAAGAAACACCTGGCTCCTGGCTTCAGATCGGCATAGCTCCGGCCATTGCGCGCGTTTGGGGAGTGAACCAACGGAAGGAAGACCTTTCTCTCTGTCTCTCTCTCACTGTCTGTAACTCTGTCAAATAAATAAATAAAAATCTTAAAAAAAAGAAATACAGCTTGATGAATTTTTATATATGTATGTAACCATGTAACCCTGCCCCTTCAAGATATTAAATGCTACCAGCATCATGGAAAGCTCCCACATGCCCCCATGTGTATGTTCAACCTGTGGGTAACAGCTGTTCTGAGCTATTTTATAGTAGATAAGCTTGCCTTATTTTGATTCCGCATTCATAGAACTACACAGAATAAACTCCTGGTGTCTGTCTTCTTCTACCAGAATCTCCTCTCCTTTTAAATTACTTTTACTTACTCATGTAATACATGAATTCTTTCTCATTCTTAGTTTCAAGTGATAGAGATAAAGGAAAGATCTTCTTTAAACTTCCATCAAGCCATTTGACTTAGGAAAAAATAGCACAGGATACCATTGTTCTCTCTCTCTTTTTTTTTGACAGGCAGAGTGGATAGTGAGAGAGAGAGACAGAGAGAAAGGTCTTCCTTTGCTGTTGGTTCACCCTCCAGTGGCCGCTGTGGCCAGTGAGCTGCAGCTGGCGCACCACGCTGATCTGAAGCCGGGAGCCAGGTGCTTCTCCTGGTCTCCCATGCGGGTGCAGGGCCCAAGGACTTGGGCCATCCTTCACTGCCTTCCTGGGCCACAGCAGAGAGCTGGCCTGGAAGAGGGGCAACCGGGACAGAATCCGGCGCGGCAATCGGGACAGAATCCGGCACCCCGACCGGGGCTAGAACCCAGTGTGCCAGTGCCGCAAGGCGGAGGATTAGCCTAGTGAGCCACGGTGCCGGCCATTGTTCTCTCTTATGTTAGGCAGACCTTTCAGTTTGTACTGTCTTCTGAGAACATGGGTATCCACCATGAAGTTGTAATTACTGTCTAGTCCTGACTCCTGGAATCACTCTATAACCAACTGAATGTTTCTAAAATTTTCGGTTACATGTTCTGAAAGTCTCTTGTGTAAGACCTGCTAATGTCCAGCCATAGCCATCAACATCATATTGACTTCCTATGTTCTTATGGTTTTCTCACAGTTTTTCAGTGACTCACCAGTGCTTTACATTACTGTCCATTGTCTTTAAGAGCTCACATAAAATAAGGGTTGGATAATGGCATTTGATCCTGGAAGTCCTTGGTTCACTGATGTACATAGGTCATTCTTGATTTTTGTAGTATTCAGTGAGATAGTAGAAATGAGAATCTCAGTGTTGAAGAATGGATGGTGACAAGCAGCTTGACAATCAAGGTAAGAGGAATTAAAGCTTAGAGGGAAGCTTTTTTGATGGAAAAGTATGTAAAGGATCAGAAAAGGGAGGAGGAAAAGGAGAGAGAGGTGGAGAAAGAGGAAGAGAGAATCAATATACCAAAAGAGTTGAAAATGACGACAGAGCGGTAAATGGTGGTTCAGCTTCCCTCACGAGGAGGGAGAAGTGGTTACTAGAACCCAAGCTTAATGTTCCAATATTTGAAAACAGTATCTCATATGGGAAAAAATGGAGAGGTCTTCAGATGAAAGACTTCCATGTGGACAAAGAGCAGGACATTGGGTGGATCAGAGGGGCTGGTGTAGCTTCAGGAGCCAGGGTCTGGGTGTGACCATGAATGTGTGACTCAAATGGAAAGGACATTGGAAGTTAGATGAGTCATTCCTATTGACTTCCCTCTCTGATTGTGATTAAAGGAAAATACAAAAAAGCAGAGAGACTCCTATAAGGATCCCCTGTGTACTCATACCCAGTACTAATTGGCTAATGCCAGTCTTGTTTCAGCTACACCCTGCTGTCCCCCAACTCACTTCTCCCCACTTGTAGGCCATGGATTGCTTTGAAGCATTTCTCAGATATCAAATTAATGTGTCTGTGAATATTTCAACATAAATAAAATATAAGGACTTTTATCAACACACAATTTGATTATCATAGATGTAAAAAAAACACTAATTCTCAATCTCGTCAAATATTCAGTCAATTTTTAAATTTCCTTGTTCATTTTTAACAGTTTTTTTAAAGCTTATTTGTTTGAAGAAAGATTCAAGTGAGAGCCACACACTACATTTGCTTGTCTTTTTTTCTTTTTGTTTTTAATCTGTAAACTCCTTTCCTCTACCACCCTTGTGTTAATTTCTTGTAACATTAATTGAGGCCAACGCTGTGGTGCAGTGGGTTACAGCCCTGGCCTGAAGCACTGGCATCCCATATGGGCGCTGGTACTAGTCCTGGCTGCTCCTCTTCCTATCCAGCTCTCTGCTATGGCCTGGAAAGCAGTAGAAAATGGCCCAAGTCCTTGGGCCCCTGCACCATGTGGGAGACCCAGAAGAAGCTCCTGGCTTCTGGCTTCAGATTGGCACAGCTCCAGCCATTACAGCAAACTGGGGAGTGAACCAGTGGATGGAAGACCTCTCTCTCTGTCTCTACCTTTCTCTGTAACTCTGTCTTTCAAATAAATAAATCTTTAAAAAAAAAACATTAACTAAGATACCTAAGAGGAGACATTTAAGGGGAAGTTTTATTTTTGGCTTGCAGTTTGGAGGTACA